CTTCTTGTAGCCCTTCTCCTCAGCTCTTCATTTATACACACCACAATGGCTTCAAGTAAATATTTTACTTTGTTTTTGCATCATGGGTTTGTAAATTATGATTCTATTGTTTATATTAAATGCTGATTTTGTGCACGATTTGGTGGTTTTTGCAAGGTTTTTGCGATAGTAAATGTGCAGTGAGGTGTTCAAAGGCAGGAGTGCAGGACAGGTGCTTGTATTTCTGCGGGATATGCTGTGAGGAGTGCAATTGTGTGCCTTCTGGGACTTACGGGCACAAGGATGAATGCCCCTGTTATAGAGACAAGAAGAACTCTAAGGGCAAACCCAAATGCCCTTAGAAAGGTCACAAGATTCTGCCATGGCTCTTAATGTGGGTTCACAGTATTGTATACTTCTATATATATAATATGGGACTGGTTTGGAATCAAACAAGAGAATAAAGCTTTTGAGTGTTTTTGGGTTTCCTCTGGAATAATTTCATGCATTGGGATTGGTATGGTTTATGGATCTATGTTCCTATGTTATGGGTAATTATTGTTGTAAGTTTCAGTATCAACTTAATGAAATGTTAGCAGTATATCTTTTTCTATTTCAATTAAGCAGTTTTGGATGAATGGATGATTCAATTTTGCTACATGTACATCCTACTTTACCACTTACATAATTTACACTTGGTAAGATTTCACACCATCTTTCACTAAAAACACAGTTATTCCAACAATTAAAAAATTGCCACCTATTCATCTGTAAAGCAGGATGTACAAACACCCTGTAGAAACAGCATAATTCTAGATGATTTGATAAAAATCACCCTTAGAAATTCTTGTTAATCCAATCTAACAAGATGGTTGAGATCAACTTTATCGACAACAGCAATGAAATAAAATCTATCTTTATTTTTACCACGAGTAAACGATAAGGAGTTTATTGATTACTTGATGTCGAAAATACTATTGGAGAGTTCTCCCACACCTCCTTCATTCTCACACTTGAACATTCTTTCGAGAAAATAGAAATTCAATCATACTACATGAGCAGAAAGTTTGACATAATGGTTGACATAATGTCACATAACATTTCATCATTAGACTGTTTTAAATACAATCAGATTTCCTACCCAATCACCTCCCGCCATAGCATTTTCTGTCATTGCATCTGACCATATTTTTCTGACAAGGTAGAATTATTCGTAGAAATTTGGTAAATAGTAAGTGCAATGTACCTTTTTCCTTCTTTCTTTATTTAGAGGGGCACTTGGTGAGGACTAGGCTTCTGTTCCATGTGGCATGGAAAAAAGAGGGGCCAAGTATCCGCAACTAATATTGCATTCCGTATAAAATTCACCTTTCAGGAAACAAATAGAGATCTGGGCCAAATAGACGAGGCATATAAGAAATGGTAACCTTGCATGTGATGCAACTACCACGAGAAAGTTGTTGGATAAAAATCCGTGTGTTCGTGGCGCATACGAATGTCATCAAAAGGTATTATTATCTTGTTTGATTTTGATTTTTCATAATTATTTTTCGTCAAACTCAATTCCAATTACATTCTTCAAAAAAATAATTATTATCCAAATTACTTCTCAAAAAATAAAAATAAGAAAAGGACTACGACGATTATGATGTGTTGTCGGTGAAAGGTTTTTCATAATAATTAAGGTTTGTGGGTCCAGGTAAGGTTGGATTGTGGCCTCAAGTGTCATGAAAAGTTATTAATCATTCTTATTTGTGTCATCGCAAAGAAATTTGTCTGATTTTTATTTTTTCAGAAATCAATTTTTCAAACTCATTTTCCCAAAAAAAAAAAAAATCACCACTTCTCAAAAATTCAAAATAGAAGAAGGGCTAAAATTATTATAATGTTATCAATGAGAAGGTTTTCATAATAATTAAGGTTTGTCGGTCCAATTGTAAGGTTGGATTGTGGCCTCAAGTATAATAAAAAGTTACTAAGATGGTAATGCAAGTGTCAGTGCTAATAACTTATTTTTATTTTTCAGAATCAAATTTTCTCAAACTCCTTTTCAATTACATTCAGCAAAAAATAATGCCCTGTTTGATTGCAAACTTTTCCATGAAAGATGTTACATCCGAGAAAAACGAATTCCACGTTGCCCGTTTGATTGCAACGTGGAAATGGAAACTGAATTATAAGGTACAATCACTTTAAACTGCATTTTCTTTGTTCTCATGGAAAGCGAATTCCGATGAATATGGTGGATTTTTATTTTCCAACTAACATGGAATTGAAATTTCTTTCCACATTTACGTATCAAACGGACCCTAAAATTACTTTTCTCAAAACCGCTTCTCAAAATAAGGTCTAAGATGATTATAATGTGTTATTGGTGAGAAGTTTTTCATAATAATCAAGGTGTATGGGTCCAATTAAGGTTGGATTGTGGCCCCAAGTATCATAAAAAGCTATTAAGATGATCACATAAGTGTCATCACTAAGATAATTAAGGTTTGTGGATCCATATAAGGTGGGACTGTGGCCTCAATTAATCCATGGAGAAGGGCGTTTGAGATGCTAGAACTTCAGATGTGTTGAAATGAAATCTAAGGGACAAAATGTGCTGAAACGTCTACACATTAAAAGCATAGCCCAAGCAAGCACACTGCAAGATTCAAATATCGAGCAGACAATTCCAAATCCGCTTTGTCTACGAACAAGAAAGCTATAAGTAATACAACTATGAATCTCATGGAGAGATCGAGCTTGGTTTAGGATGAACGTTGACGGCTGTCAAAGAGGCTTCTTACTTCCTAAACAAATCCTCCTACATTTATATATAAACGCTGATATATCAAGAATATACAAGAAAAGCACTTCGAATTGTTGATTAATCATCAGATATGACAAAAGTTAAAAATTTAGTTATTTAATTTGAATAAAATGAACCATAGTTATAAAACCCGACCCGGACTATCGGCCCGGAAAACCGGTGGCCCGGACCATTGACCGGGCCGAGCAGATTGATTTAATCGAAATGCACTTGACTAATTCAAAATCAGGCTTTGACCGAATTAACCGACGGTTTACCCAACCCAGTTGACCGATTTGATTGAGTTTTAAAATTCTCTTACAAAATTTTAGGGTCAAAAGAAATTGAACCTTGGACATCTAAGGAAAATAATGGATTCATCACCACTTGAGATAGAGTGTTTTAGTATTACTTATGTGCAAATAACTTATATTTATTTAATGAATAATTTATAGGTTTTATAAAAATTAAAAAAAAATTTAATTTTCATTAAACATTTTACTTTATTTTATAGATTTAAATAATTAGTGAAAAATAAATTAAAAATTTTAATTGTGCCTCTAAAACAAAATTTATACTTTATATTTTTTTGTAGATTTTTACGCAATAACCCACCGGTCGAATCACCGGATCACCGGTTGAATCACTAACCCATTGACCCGTTACATTGTTCGAGTCCGTGTTCGGATCGAGTCTGAGAACTATGAAATGAACCCTTCATTCAGAATCTCATTAAATTGTAAATCCCCCTCACGAAAAATTTCAATACTCTAATTTTGATGATTCAGGGCCTTAGCTTGGGTGATTCGGGCAAGATCCAATATAGATCCAACTTTTGATTCATTTGTGAGATCCAGACGGTTCAAGGGGATCACCATGGCTCCTTTCTCCTTGAGAATTCATACATCCATTATCAGTGAACTTTTGCCTGGTTTGTGTTAGAAAATACTCGTGCAAACTTATGAACTTTTTTTTTGGCAAAAGCTTCTAGGCTCGACATGACCTAAACCACACCGAGTTGGAACAAGTATAAAGCCTAACTAATTGAAAGCGCCTATAAACTAGTTCCAAGAAAGCTAGTTCCAAAAAAGCGTATGTTCACCTAAGGAATAGATTTTGTGCCATTCACACTTCCTGGATGGACACTAGAAAAGATGAGAGAAATTTATTGACATGACATTCTAAAGTTGCTTATATGCTTGAACAAAAATCCTTTTCTTTTTAATAACCGTGGATGTCCAGGCCAACTTGCGCGCACCTCGACTAATTCCACGGGGCCCTGAAGTTTACGGCCAGATACTCACCTCAGTGGCCCTGAGGTGACTTGAACTGGTGACCATTGGGGAGCAAACCCAAGGTCTGACCAATTGAGCAACCCCTCAAAGTTGCTTGAACAAAATTCTTGACCATATAGAAAGTCACGAGACTGAAAACCAGGACAAGGATTTTAATTTATCAAGAACATAAATTTCTTCAAAGCACCACATTTTAGAAACTTACAATTTGCACGAACCATTAGAACCAACACAAAAATAAAATAATAATAATAATAATAAAAAATAACGAAGAACAAGCAGCCAAGTAATAATAATAATAATAATAATAATAATAATAATAATAATGTTATTCATCATTAGTAGAGATCATCACCAATTAGGTGATTATGGACCCCCTAATTCATTTGTCCAATCATAAAAATACTTCATCATTAGTAGAACTCGTAGTCATCCCAAGTATTTGTAAACCCCATGATTCATTGTCCAATGCATTCAAATGCATCACTACTACATTTGACAATGAAGCAGAGGCTCCACTTCCACCTAGACGGTGATGATCCGTACTAAGGTGAATAGCATTGCTCAAGTAAGAATGTAGCTGTTAAATCTTGACGATAAAAATAATGACTTAACACAACCAACATTGGAAGACTGAAGGTGCACTGTTTAAAAGCACTCTTTCTGCTACAAGATCTCAAATTATGATGCTCCAATTGCATCTTCAGATATTCAACTGCCTCCTTTGTCCTTGTAAACATTCTCTATGATATTAAGTTCACTCAAAAGACCATAGCTATATCACAAAAGTACACTTACAACAGCTTAAAATGACAAAAAAATTTGCATATAAACCTACTACTGTCTGCATTTACTAATAGATGAAGAACATGCAGAGTAACATTACACTAGCACACTCTCCAGATATAGCAACATCTTTCACTTGGGCATGTCTACACAAGCAAGAGCTTCTTCTTTTCAAGGCAACTAAGGATCTTTTTCCCATAAAGATTGTTTCGCATGGATGACACATTAGCTTGGATTAAATTCAGCAGAGCGTCAAAAACATGCCCCTGTTCATGCACAACAGAAATTTACAAGTTAACAAGAACTAGAGCTCACCCATTTCTGTGAAGTCCAAATAATCAACATGCACTGAAACGTTAGCAGCAGTTATAGGCTTAGGGTTTATGGTGGAAAATTTTAATCGAAGATCAATATGATCAGATGACAGAGCGTCACAACCTTGTAAGGCCCCGCATTTAGGTAAGGGCTGAAATATCATTTGTTCCCTCGAAATTGGTTTTTTATTAATTTTGTAAGGGGTCTCCAGAATTTTTGCTCAAGTACTTCAAATTGCTTGAGATGCTTCCACTTATAGTGTCAGTATGCAATCACATGTAACAGTGAGTATAGTCCTCGAGGTAGATCAACAAGTATGATATTCAAGGACCACAGAGAAAAAAACTCGAACACCACATATTTGCAGATGATCAACTTAGAGTTCTGCTCATATGAATTACAAGGAAAGCAATACAAATTTCACAATATTATGTGGTTCAGCATATTTGTGTTCTAGTGACATATCTCTGTAATATTTTGACAAATTGTTTTGATATCCAAGAAAATATTAAAAGGCCAGAATGTAGTTCTGTTAATTATGCAGGGTCACAATATCTGTCTACTTATCATCCACATAATTGGTCTCAATAAATATGATAGTCAACATACATATAGATGTCATTTACAAAATCTAACATAATCAGCACATTGTAAGAAAAGAATTTGAAGACTTGAGAATTCCGATTCCCATTGCTGTGAATAATCTTACCTTTGCTTCTGACAATGCTGACTGAATAACAAAGTTTCCAAAAGGATCCACAAGAAGCATAGAGACATTTGGACTGCTAATCAGCTCACTGATAATTTTTCTGGAATGGTTTTCTCCTGAAGTTTCCAAAAATTTCTCCACTACGTTACTCGCATACTTATTGAAGGAGAGAGAGAAGAATTTCCCTTCAAACTGTCTCACAAGATCAGTTGTGACTTCTGGAATTTTTATTCCCAGCAAGTGTTGCACCACATAGTTCCTAGAACATTTGAAATAAAATAGATCAGACACGTGTGTGCTCATATCAATATCAATGACCTGGATGGAATGCTCAGCTTGTAAGTTTACCCATAAGGATCTTCGGCCAGGTGGACTGCATTGGCTACTACATTACGTATTAACCGTTCTCTTAGTTCCCCGCACGAGTGTTCCACACATGATTGCATCACACAACACCCACTTTTATTGGTTGCAATTACAAAGCAATTATTTCCTATTGCATTGAGAAGATTCTGCCAATTGGAATTCATTGTTAGATAGCTGATTGAACAGGAAAACTGAACTTGCGCCAACACTTGCTGAGTTCAGGTATGGTGAACTTTAAACAGCCTCAGAAAGAAACACTAAAATACTTCAACAAGTGAAAACTGAAGGCATATACGATGAAGTAAAAAATTCTTATGAAGTTCAATTTAACAGGATCCTAACGAAGCCCAAAAGGAAAATATCCGCAGTAACTTTGCTCACCTAATTAACATATAAGAAAGGCTAAATTTCCCTTGAACTGCATTTTTTTCAGCAAATATATCTGGATTATTTTTATCTGTCAAAGGTTCTAAAATAACGTATTTAGCAGCTAATGCCTATCAACCATCTTTTATGTAGAACAAGCATCTCTTCTCGTTGATGCTCCTAGTAAGAGTTACAAGAACTTATATCATGCAATGTACTGGCTTTCACATTGACCATAGCAAGTTTCTCCATCCAATGTTCACTGTGGAGATCTATAGACAATCATCTGAGATATATATGATTAAGATAACAATTTGGACGAATGAATTTACTTCTTAGCAAATAGATCCAAAAAGGAACAATAAAAGCAAAGAAATAGGTATGCATGAAGATCATATCATTTCAGAGTTATATATAATGGAATCCAGACTATAAGCCTCAGGTAATCCTGGGCATCCAATTTCTGTACTTACTGGCAACAAAGCTCGGCTAAAATCGTGATGCAAATATATAATGTGACTGTCAAAGATAGTGTTTCTTTTGCAAAATGCCAAGACATTATCCTAGCATCATAAGCCTTAATATGAACAAGTCCTACAGGTAGTCCTTTCAATTTAATCAAGCAACTAATCTTATCAGTACAATATTATTTTCCACCGGAATAACATTTTTTATAAACAAGAATAAAGAAAAAGTAAACTTATCTTAGGGAAAAAGTGACCCCGATCCCTTAAGTACTAAATAGCATGTCCAATTGAACTTAAAACTTTTATCCAGATAGGTAAGTGGGAAGTCAATAATACAAATTAATTCATTATGAACACAACCAAATTAGGAGGGTGTTTGGTAGGGATTAAAATTTGATTTTTAGTAGATTGTGATAGAAGTTTTTGAAATATGTGATTGAAAAGTTGTGGGACCATGAAAGATGTGGTTAATATTGATTGTTACTTTGACTTGGATTAAAATCAGATTTTAATCCGGACCAAACAGGGGCTAGAAGTTACTGAAAATTACAAGTTATGTGAAAATTTTAAGTTTCTTTTCCCGAGAAGCGCTTCACGGAAATTATATAATAAAAATAAATAAATAAACAACGACGACGACAAGGAAATACAGATATGACAAAAGAGCAGCAAAGTTTAACACACTGCTCTGGATGCAAAGAAACATTAAACCAACTAAAAACTAATCAAAACTTGTAAGTACAATTGGCAAAAGAGATGCTTACACGCTTTAGAATCACTAACACTTTTTCTTCCATTCTTCTAGAACACACTTTGATAAGAAAAAGTTCATCAGTATAACAGGGCTACCAAGATTTGCAGCCAGTTGATTAAAAATGAGAACTACTATTTGGTTCCCCACTTCTTCTAATTATTTTTCGTATATGAGTGGCACTGGTTGATAGAGTAATCCCAGTACTCAAACCAAAATAATATACACCAATGGAGAAATAACAACATATTTTAATGCTTTAGTTAGTAATAATAAACATGAAGACAATAAAGATAACATTTCTCATTACCTTATTATATTCAGCAGGTAAATGTTTAACACAGTGTTGTATAACAAGCTGACCACTGGTATCAGTAGCCAAGGCAACAGCACCTAGGTTTAAAGAAGACACTATGAGTGATATTTGCTGTGGGGTATTTAGCTTCTCCAACAGTTTTTGAATAGCTTTTGCCCTGAAATCAGAACACCATATCAAAGCTTTCTCAACAAATAAAAAGATAAATCGTATAAAATTTTAGAGTTAATTAATTCGTACCCATATGAATTAAGACAAATATTAATAAATTGAAATGGACTTCTAGTTAGTCTCAAAATAATCCTAGTCCTCTGTTCCATATTGCACGACATGAAAAGCTTATGCAAAAATTGACTTCCAAACTGATTTGTTATCACATCACTCAAGAATTCCAACACCTCTGATAGAACCATCTCAAGTCTAGGCAGTGTCAACCCCTCTTCCAATTTGAACTTCAAAATCCCACTCCAGGTTTGATCTTTTGCCAATGAAACTATTCTTCCTCTCAAATGTTCAATACTCAATTGTTCCTCCCACTGGTACAAGTGCTGATTATTGCACAAACTTGGCCTGGAACTGAAATTCATGAAATTGTTAGTTGAAGACAGAAAATTTGGATATTGGGGGCTGGTTCCTAAAAAAGGTTTCTTGCCATGCAAGAAAGAATACTCATGATTATTACTGAAAGTATCGAAAACATCATGTCCTTGATATTCCATCAACCTCTGAGGATCAACTCCAACTCCAACTCCAACTCTATCAAGATATCTGCTTTTACCCATACCCATCATCTCCGGTCTCACATTGAGATTCTGTTGGACTTCCAAACTGAAAGGCCCATTGACACCACCATAATTACTTTGAGCCGGAGCCCAAAATAAAGCCTGCTGCAACTCCCTAATGTTCTCTTGCTTTTCACCAAAACCCACTGAAAAGGGAACTGGCTTTGCGGCTTCCAAGCCATCATCTCTGGGAGGAAGATTAATAGACGACGGCGTTTCATGTTGGGCTTGAAAATATCGGGAAAGGGTTAGCCTGGAAAAGGCTGATTCAATTGCTTGATCAGAGTTTTGAAAGTTTGCATTTAAAGGGGTTTGTAGATGGGTTTTGGGGGAAAAAGGGTGTTCAACGCGGTGGTTCTGTTGACTTTCCGGCGACTTAGACGCTGGAAAATTGGGGTTTTGAGAATGTCTTTGCTCCATGCCGTTACGAAAGAATAAGGTCTCTCTGTTTTCACTGTAGATCAGAGGGGGTTTTTGTTGTTGGGGTTTTTGTTTATTATTATTATTATTGGGCTGGTTTTAAATAAGGTGTTTTAATGGTTTATTTAGGGTTAGAATTAGAGTTATAGGATGGAGATGGAGAAAAAGAGTAACTTTTTCTTTAAAGTCGTTAGAGAGTAAAAACGAGTGAATTTTCAATGACATTTCACAGAAAGATAAGTTTCATATTCAATAATTCTAAAATGTTAAATTTTTAGGATATTTCAAAAATAATAAATAAATTTCATAGTCAGTCACAACTCATCATGACGCGTTCAATTAATACACGTAATCATTGTACGTATTAGGCTAATTTGACGAGATTACAATTTAATGAATAATGCTATATGAAATAATAATTTTTTTGTAGTTTCCGCACAATGTCTATATGGACACATTCATAGACGAGGTTCGATTTTGAAAATACAGATATTTACGAGATAAAAGAAAATAAAGAATGGAGAGAAGTTGGGTGAAATTCTACTGCAAGTCTTGTAGAGGAAGAGAGAGACTATAGAGTACATGCAAAATATGGAAAGTCTTTCATGGTTGAAGGCTTGCATTGAAATACGAGCAGTGGGGTTTAACCTTTGGAAATAAAGTAACTTCCTTCTTTCCCGCCGTTTCATTTAATGCTATTCATACAATTTTTCTTTTTTAATTTTTTTCCTACTCTATATGGTAGAATTTTATTATGTTCTGTTTGATTACAAATGTGAAAAATAAGTGGAAAGAAAATATTTTACAGAAAATTAATTTGCCTAAAAATTGTTTTATTGAGAATTGTAATTAATTGTATTTGATTGGTATAATTTTTCATGAAAGATGTTGAAAGTTTGGTATCCGTTTGATTTCGTTTTTTATGAAAATTGTTCATTAAAGTGATAATGTTTTCTACTATTGAGTCTAGAATTTGTTCCAATTGGTTAATATTGATTGTTTGACTTTGACTTGGATTAAAATCAGATTTTAATTCGGACCAAACATGGACTTAATTCTTTTAACTTTCAGATCCAATTTTAGAAAAGAACGATATGATTTGGTTGACTTCTTGCTTACTATTTGGGCTCCATTAAAAATGGAATTTCGGAGAAAATATGTTTTGAAATAGGGATTTTTTGAAAAAATGAATAGTTAAAAAATAAGAAAAATTTTTAAGTTCACATTTAATATTATATAGAAGAATGTATGGTTCAAAATAAATTTTTAAAAGAACGGAACCTGAACAAGGGCTAATATCCATTGAAAAATAAAATCAACCCATCTATTAAAAAATATATTTCGTAAAGTTGTGATATATACCAATGCAAAATCAATGTATAAACGTAGGATTAACTTAGCCTATGTTTGGCTCATCTTTATAAACTTTTTATAAAAATTAAAGTTATTTTTTATTCGCATATTTTGGAAGATTCATAATTACTATCACTTTTCATTACTAATTTTTATCTATTTGTAATTTAAATTGTTTGTAAACACTTATCAAATATGCTTTCAATCATAGAGGTATCATTAGATAAAAAGAATTGTTCATGAGAGAGCAAAATGGAGTCCCAAATATGTTGTTTCTATCTCGCTTTATGCAGGGACGGATCCAGGATTGAATCCAAGACCAGACTACAAAATTTCAAATCGGGCTAATACGCGAAAAAAAAAACTTTTACACATAAAAAACTGTTTTAAGGAAAAAAAACCTTACAAATTTTTTTCTTTTGGGCCTTTGGGTGGGGGGATACAGCTCAGCCCAGCCCCCCCCCCCCCCCCCCCCCCCCCCCCCCCCCCCCCCCCCCCCCCCCCCCCCCCCCCCCCCCCCCCCCCCCCCCCCCCCCCCCCCCCCCCCCCCCC